ATCCTTATGCCAGCTCTACTGTTTTGACTTAAGTTTCACTAAGAAGTGCTGGCTCTGTGTGTTGCAAATGTTTGGTTCCAAATGCAAACTTTCCATAACATAAGGCACAATTACAAGTGGATCCTTCTGGCTTTGCTGTTGAGTTCCCGTTCATCCAGCCAGGGAGCCTCCAAGCTTTGCTTGTTGAGCTCAGCAATATTGAGTGAGCTCATTTGAGCCTGGAATTCTATGTGGCTCATGCTGGACTGGAAGCTGAAGTTCATACCCTATCTGGAATTGAGGAAAGAAAGTGTGCAAACCCAGAACCAAGGGAGCAGAAAATGAGATCCTGGTCATAATACTGCCACCTGAAGCCTTAACTCAATCACATATACCTTTTCCAAGAGGAATAGAGTGAAAGTGACTTATGGTAATGGTTACATTTCATTTGGAGTAAGAAAAAGGAAAGGTAAATAAAGGGCACAGAAAACAGAACATTATCTCTGCTGATCTGCATTTATAATGCTAAAAATTACCAGATGAAAATTGTGTTCTCCTACCCTCAGTCTCAATTATAGCCTTAACAATTATGATCAAAAGCAAGATCCTAGTAAGGTTTCAGCAGAAAATTCAATGTCAACACAGACTAAATTGTGTTTTGATCTGAGTCAGACAATTGCTGAAATCACCCATGGCTAAGATATTTTTGCAAGAGGGAATATAAGGAAGCAGCCTGATGGGAGCAAGCAGTTACTCTTTGAAAATATTTTGGGCAAGAGATTAATCACCTTTTGCTTGGATGAGGGGCAAAATCCAGTCTTATGAGACAACAGAGGCTCAGACCCTGCCACACACATTTTTTAGTCCTTTCCATCCAAGGGTTTTTTGGATAATCTATCTCTTATCTGTTACTTCCAGATGGGCAGCAAAATCTTGATACTGTTTTCCTGGCTTTACTTTATTTGCTGAAAGCATTTTTGTAGCTATAGAAAAAAATATATATTTCTGATATATACTCTCACCCTTGAATGGCAAAGAAACCATTTCAAGAGGTGTAAATAGTTAAGCTCCTATTTCCATGGGAATCCAATTAAGAAAATCAAATAGTCAGCATATTTGAAATACATCGAGACTTAGAAAAATGTCAGTACAATCTGAAAATAATCCAATTGTCACTGAAATTAATATAATCTAATTTTCTTGCCATTCCTGAGGTCACTAGAGAAAACTTTGATTTTGGTATTGTTGTATGCTGTCCTTAAATGTCAGAAAGACAGAATAATTTCTTCTTTCTCACCTCAAAGAAGTCCTTAAACGTTATTGGTAACGGAACTAAGATGATACTACATACAATGAAAAAGCTCTGAGCCATTTAAGAAAATTTATTTGGTCTTTCTAGACCACCATTTTTGAATGCAGAAAGTTACATCCTCAGATTCTCCTAAAGCTTTTGAAAAATCAGCATCAGTGTTGGCCATCAGCACTAAGTAAATCCCTCCACCTGTATCTAAACTTGCATGGCATCTATTTCTCTTCCACCTGCTGTAAATTCTGTGAATCTTCTGCAAAGGAGAGCTTTGAGGAGAAGTGGAGTGACTGGCATATACTTCTGGATTTAAACCACTGAGTTACTGAGTCTGTGGCTCAGCTATGAATGTGTAAATTGGTGATGTAGAGGGGCTACAGCAGATTGGGAAGCATAACTTGATATTAAGTCAGGAGGAAGAAAATTACTTCTGGTACATGTTGGGATAGTATATATAAATCTTAAGAAAAGGAAGCAAGTTACTAGGTTTCTGTCCAATGAGGTGCCTGATCCCTGAGGAATTTTGCATGCAAAAACAATTTGAAATTTGTGGCAAAAAAAAAATATGGGCAATTAACTTTTTCTTGCCTGACCTTCACTTCTAGGTGGAGACATTTCCCAGTAACTGATTTAATCAAGAAAAACTCTTGATCCCACTTACCTTTTCCACTACCTTTGGATTCTCTGTACCTTTCTGTACTTCAGCACTTCAATGTCTCTTTCTGTTCTGAGAATAACTTTGTTTTCCTACACATATTGCATCCCTTCTGTCTTCCCCCTGCTGCATCTGAATTCCGATATTCAATAGGTGGCTGAAAAAGTGCATTAATCTATCTTCCTTTCTGTCAGAAACATCCCTGCCATTACATGTTTTATTTAGTGAACTTTGTGGCACAAAACTGATGCTGATCATTGAGCAAAAGAAAGATGTAAGCAATGTTTTGTTATGTGAGCCAAGAAAGGATTCCAAATAGGTTTTTATCCAAGGTCAGATCTCTGGCAAACAGTGAGGTGCAGTTCCATGTTGAAAGCCATTTCAGATGCGTGGCTGATAAATTTACAGGACCCTCATCTGAAGGTGATCATGCAGGGAAGACTTATTCTAATGAGGTTTTGTATGTGTAGCCTTGTGGAGCTGACATTTCCTAGGAAATGGCTTTATCAAGCAGCAAAAAGACTTAGTATGCTGCAGTATCAGATGTAGGGACATTTCAAGGAGATTGCTGTATACTTCAATGAACAGAAAGGAAATTTCCTTGACAGAATATAAAATAAACCAACCTCTCCTTACTTTTAATGCACATTTATTACTAAATCCTATGTTTTAAACAAGATTGAGTGGCATTTTATAAGTGCAAAAGTTGGCACTAGCAATATGATCATTAAAAATACAGCTCATTATTTTGTATGGATAAACTGGGAATGGGTTTCTTAAAATCTCTTTGTGATTCAAAGTTAAATAAGACAAGATCCAGCCATCATGCCAATAATCACCTGGGTGGGGACTAGGCAGCTCTGAAGTTGTGAGATTGGTGTCCTGTTACTAGGAGGGCACATTCCATCAGCTGTACTCATGGAGGCCAAAGAGGGGAGGAGTTTGGCTTCCAAATGGGCCTGAAAAATTTGTGCCTGGCTGAGGAACAAATGTTAGATCTCCTGAGGAACATTGCTTGGCACTGATGTCAAGGGTTTCTTTGTGTACAGATTGATTTTGGTCCCCATAAAGGCATAAAATGTATGTTTGAAGCCAGACAAATGGTTTGCAAAATGTAATTTTGCAAACAAACACAAAATGTTTGCTTGTGTAATGCATAAATCAGTTGGCTTAAGTAAAAATACAACTGATTTCCTTAAAAACAATCACTGATAAGTGGAAAGCCATTGACTTAACCTATGAAATCTTTTGATCAACCCATCCCACTTTTCCATTCTGAGGGGAAAGTGAGACTTTCAGAGGATGAATCATCCCATGAGACCACAACACCATGTAGTGATTGAACCATGGGAATTTGTATGTCCTGGGGAGCCAGCTCAAAGCACAGAACCTGAGGGTCAACTTAGCTGCCTGGTCACTCCACTTTGCCTTACACATGGTACTTGGTGTCTAATTACACAAATTTCACCAAGCCAGTGGACAGCTCCTTCCTGCTATTGGTTCTCTGGATTCTCTGCTGACACTTAGAACAAATGCCCTCCTAACTGACTTGTAGCAGTTTCTTTTTTAGCTGATCTAAGCTGGGTAAAACCTCAGGTGCTCACCTAAGCAAGGGTATGAGATGGGATCTACAATATCTCAGACAAAATCCCTGGAGGCTGAAGAGCTGACCAGTTGCACTAGCTGACCTTCAAGAACAGACCAGCGTGGTGCAGTAACCTGGTCCCTGCAATGTGGCCTTTGGAAGCTTCTGAGAAGTCTACCTCACATTGTAACCACATCTTCAATACTCTGCTTTTGGAATACTTGCAACCTGTTCGCTTTTTCTCCCCTTCTTCATTCTCCTGTCATAATAAATCTTTCCCTGAAAGAAGAAGACTTTGCTGGCTGGTTGCTGGTTGCCCAGGGAGGCAGAACTGGGGGAGCAGAGCTATGGGAGCATAGACACAGCAGAACTTGAAAGTCCATTTTACTGCTAGTCCAGTTTTCTCAGCTGAAAGGTGTTTTTCTTGGGGAAAGTGTCATGTTTGATATTTTCTGAAAAGTACTCCATCATTTCAAAAGTTAAATAATATTCTTGCAATAATTTGGCAGCCAAGCTCATTTATCAGAGCAATGCAACAGTCCTTAAACAGGAAAGGATTTACTTTGTAAATAAAATTCTGCCTAGAGGCCAAGCCTTGCCTTACACTCTCCCACTTACATAAATTCATGTAGCAAACTGCATTTTCCTTTGTCTTCCCTCACACCTCAAAGTTTTTCCCCTCATCCACAGAAACTATATGCAAATCAGGTCTGTGACTTCTGGAAAAAAAAAACAAACTCTCTTTTCTCCCCGTGTTTATACAAAGCCTGGCACAGTGAGAACATGATCCCTGAGCAGTGTTTTGAAGTGGCTTGTGCTCTGAATGTTTGAATAGTTGAATTCTGTTCCTTAGTCATAAAGAAGAGAGGCTGTGGGATACAATGTTGGAGAAATTTATCTCCAGAGAAGCCTAACTGGTATTCTGCAGGAGCATAGAGGTTTATGCCAAGGCAAGGATGAACACTGTGCTCCAGAAGACTCTGATGAACAAAGGACTAATGCAAACCAAAGCCTGTTTGGAGAACTTGAGCTTTTAGCAGCAGTAACTACAGCAAATAAATCAGAACTTTGTCAGATTAAAAAAGTAGGTAGTGCACTATTCCTCTGCTTGGGGGGATAATAAAACTCTTAAATTTGATATTTCTTAATAACTTCTCTGATAAGCACTTATTTTCTGTATAGGACGGGTAAGATCTGTATTACCAGCTAGACATTAGGACAGGACTGAATACAAAATTGGGACTTTTTTTTCAACGTCTAATAATTCAGGTCTTTAGAAAGGAGTTTAACTATGTGAATAATTCTTGGATCATATTCAGAAGATAAATATCAGCTTCAGTTCAAATTTTAGATTTATCCCCATGTTCCTTCTGACCAAAACCATCCTCATACTGACCTGTATGTGCCATTTGTTTCTTCAGCTCATTAGATGAGCACTTTCATTGACAACACAAGCACAATCTCATCTCATTTACCTGTGAGGTCCTCGTTGGGCCAGGAGCCAAGCTGGCAGGCTTTGCATGTGTATTCATCAGAGACATATTCATTTTCTTTACAAGGAGTGCAGGTCCAACAGCAACTCACTTCTCCTTTACGGATCACCTGAGACAAAAGTTGACATTTTCTTTTAGCAGCATAAACACCAATTGCTAATTCAATTTTTTTTCTAATAGAAGAGTTTTTGAAATTTAATTATTCCTTTTCGTTATATGTTTTCAAAGATAAAATGTGACAAAAGTTCTTAGTTCCCCCATCATGTAGGTACCAGAAGAAAGAATCTACCAATCCCAAAGAAGTATAAGTGGAGGTACAGAATGACAAAAAAAGACGTTTTTTCCCCTCTTAAGATGTCAATGCACCTACAGATAGATGTCAGTGCATGATAGTGAAGACACATAATTCACTCCAGCGTGATCCATACAGAGAAACATGTGAATAGTATTATGTTCCTATATGTTGGCTAACCAAAGACTTTTGGGTGCTTATTTTCCATCCAATAGTGTGTGATTTATTAAAAACTGATTTTTCCAGACAGGAAACTGAACGTGCATTTCCAGAATTATTTAATTACTGCATTTCTAAAAACCATTTAAAGGTGAGAGCCTTATCCTTCTTCATTCCAACATCTGACCTGATTACTCATTTCATAATTTACTCTCAAATGTTATTGCATGCTTAGGATTGAAATGCAGATTTTTAAAGATCCTTATTTATCATCTCTGGGAACATCTGTGCTTCTTGTCAATATGACTTTCTTTTGAAATAAAGTATTCCCAGTTTCTCTCTTCTTCCCAAACAGTTTACAAACAAATACTCCCAATTATAGCATAAGAAATAGGTTGACCTTTTTTTTATCTTTGGCAGTGATGAATTCAGAAAGTGTATTCAAAGCCAAATGTCTTTATTGCAATTTTAATTAAAAAATCAAACACGGAGACGAGCATAATCAAAAATAATGGGATTGCTCTTTGCAATGCTGCAGTGAAAAACAAATTCTATTATCTAATTTTCATCATCAATATGGGGACTTGAAAAACTTCAGATTTTTTGTTTTGTTTTGTATTGTTTTGTTTTTAATTGTAGGGTATGAAAAGAAAAATACCAACCCCAAAGCAGTTAAATTGATGGAAAGACTAGAAGAACATAAGTAATTTATTCTGCAAGAATTGAGACTAGAGCTACATGCAAAACAGAATATTTGTCCTCCAGAATAAATCAGATTTTGGGATTTCTTTCATTTTGAAATAGAATGAAAAGTTGAAAAAATGACAATTTTTTTTTTGTGTTTGGGAAAATCAATTTTTAGAAAGCTTAATGAACATATTTTGATTACCTTGAAACATTATAAAAATCCATAATTTTATTTTTATAAAATAGTCAAGAAAATTAAATGGCAAAATAAAAACCCTATATTATTATCAAAATGTCTAAAATTCTATATGAATAATTAATTTACTCTTTTCCGTGTAATGTTCTGGTAATGAAGATCTTCTGTGAAATACTTGGAATTTGACAAATCAATCAGGACACTGGTGTACTGATAATTTCTTACCTAGAACTACAGAGAAGGATTATGTATCCTACTCTAGAATCAAGATAAGCGTTCTTCAAGACTCAAAGTCAGACTTTTTTTGTGTGTGTTAAATTTATTAGTCAGCAATTTATTCATCCTTTAATTTTTCATTTCCTGCATAATTCTTTGTTGCATTCTTTGTAAATTAATTTTTCTGTCCCTTTTAAAAGAAATAATTTTCTTTAAAACAAGTATTATTTCCTTTCCCCTTGTCATCCCTACAATCCTTTGAACCTGTATTTATTTAAATAGTTATATGTCCACAGTATTTTAAATGGACAGTTGGGTTGTATTTGGGTTTTATCAAGTCTTGTGGATGGATTCACCAGCTCTAGCTGAATGTTGAATAGCATTACATTCAATGTTTTAAATTCCTCCATAATAACTCAGTCACACGGAAGTTTGCAGGATAACCACTGCAAAGCTTGGTAGGGTCGAGGTCCCACCATCATCTGTGAAGACCATTAAGATAAAGACTGTCAGGTAAACTTTGAGATTTATGATCAATAATGAAATGAGGAGCAAACAGAACATTTCCAACACTGGACTTCAAGAATATACCTAAGTGTGTGATGACTTGGCTTCACAGTGAAGGATCCTTTTGAGAGAATTCTTGGGAGCATGGGCAGAAGGTGGAAGGTGACTGCGTTAATGAAGACCACAAGATACTTCCCTTCAGCTGTGTTGTGACAACAGATCATAAAGGAACTCAGAGCCATGAGGTTCTGAAGATGTTAGCTGTTTGTCTACCTCTGTTCTCCCCGTGTGTGGCTGTGCCTGGAGCGGGCTAACAGACTGGGACAATAAACTCAGCCCACCTGCATTTAAGGGCATTTATGTGTGAGCACACACCTGCAGAAGGTGTGTTCTCATCAAAACCAGCCATCCTATCTGGGTGTCTTTTACAGTCAATGAAGAGAAAGAATCACTCTACACCAAGTTTGATCTCAGCTGTGTTCAAAGCCTACACAAGGGTGAGATGACTCCTCATCTGGAATAGCATATTATTCATACAATTCCTTATGTTTACACTGGAGACAAATACAATTGGTCTGATGAAACTCACTTAAATGATCCTGCCAAAGACTAATTAGTGAATTAAACAGGGTGACTGTGTCCTAAAATTCTGGAAAACTCAGGCTAAAGAGATTCACTTTGTGTTGCAGAGACTGGTCATGCTCCCACCAGCTTCTCTCTGCAGCTGCTTCCCAATTTTCAGTCATGCTGTTTTAACACATGAGAAAATTGAGCTTCCAGTGAGACTTGTCAGAAATCACACCTGATTTTTTTTTTGTGGTTGAACATGCCCATCTCCTCATTCCACTGGCTTTTATATAAATGACTGCAAGGCACGCTATGGACTTGCGGTATTTTAGCTGTTTTGCAGGAAGCATCATGGGATGCTGAAGGAAAATAGCATATAATTAATATATGACAGATTCATTATACACTCCTTGTTTACTGCAGCATGGAAAGGGAGGAAGGAAAAATAAAAAACCTGGGGAAAAAAGAAGCAGTAAAATAGGTATGATTAAAATATTTGTTGCTGGTATTTCCTGAAGTTTGAAGTAGTGGTAGTAGTTGATGTTCTCTGATGATAACATAGACTTAAAGTCTGATTAATAACATTCCAGTCTGGGTGACTATGTCTAGCATTGAAATAGTAGCAATTATTATTTATAATTTACCTGCAATTGTACTGACAGTCCCAGTCAGGGATTTGCAGTCCACTAAATCAGATGCTCTAAAAATACGCAGCAAAAAGCCTCCAAACAATACCTGTTTGAAAGCATTCAGAATGTAAATTTAAATTTAAAAAAAGTCAGCAGTCCACAGATATAGGAGTCAAGAAAATGGCAGTTTATTAAAATAGGGAGATGATTATGATAAGAGTAAAAACTAAATACATAAGTCTGTACATTTTAATTTAAGTGTGGCATACTATCTCCATGTAGAAGTCAAGAAAAAACTTGCTTTCAAATTTCAAGGCTGTGCATACTGCAAGACTGAAAGAAATGAAGAAAATGTTTACCTTTATCTGGCCTTTTTCACAGGGTTCACTGCAAACAGATCTGATGATATTACTTTTCTCTGACCATATTTCATCATCATCCATTTTCAGCTCACCATTGTCCCAGCTGCCAACATTGATATAATCAAAGTAGTCCTTCCCCATTTGTTTAAAATTCATGATTTCATATCTTTGGAGACAGAAAGGAGAGACATAGCTGAGTTGAGAAGAACATCATGAAATATTTCAAATTAAAGGAACGCCATACAGTCAAAATCAAGCATGTTGAAATGAAAATATTTAAAGACTTATGAGTACGATACCCTTGAGTATCTCACAATAGTTTCTGTGATATCATAATCTTCCTTTTCCTTCGTAAGTTAAGTTGGGAGGTTGCAGTGTTTTCTTGTTTGCTTTTTATTAAGTTTTGCTTTGGGTTTATTGCTGGGGTGTTTTTAGTTTTTATTCTATCACCATAAAAAGTTCCCTGAACAATCTGGAGTTAAGTGACTGTGTTTCTGAGAATGACTATTTATTTAAAGAAAACAATGAAATGAGTCAAACCAGAATTAAATCTGTGCAACTTCCAGCCCTGGAAGCCAATTGCATATGGAGCCCCAGTTCCCTCTACAGCAGATGTTGAGTAATCTAAACCTGTAATGCCAATTCCTAGCACTATGTCTTCCTCACTTTCTGCAGGTGCTTTTTCCCCTCCTGAGGGAAGAAGACGATAGGTAAACTATCAAAATGAGGTAGAAGCAAGCTCTATGTGATCAAAGGAAAGTTCCTGTGCTGTAGGACTGCAAGATGAAATTTGGTGTGGCATCCAGAGAGGAATCAGGCATCACTCTTAAGGCACAGAGTCCAGGAATCTTTCTTTTTCTTTTTCTTTTTCTTTTTCTTTTTCTTTTTCTTTTTCTTTTTCTTTTTCTTTTTCTTTTTCTTTTTCTTTTTCTTTTTCTTTTTCT